AGGGTGGGAGGGAAGGAAAATTTCTGATGCTCCCTGCCAGCTTCTCAAAAGCAAAGTCACTGGGGAAGCTAGCAGCAAATTGCAAGTCGTTCACACTCCCACTGCTTTTTTGCCCTTGGTCATTCTGCTTCTCTGTTTAGGTAAGGAGATATCTCTGAAACAATGACCAAAGGGTCACAGGTTGTCTAGTAATGCATGAAAAGATACTCTCATGTAGTTTTATCTTCTTGCTAGTCATCTTTCTAACATTTGCAAGATCTAGATCTTCTTTTAAGAAATAGATATCTTATGACTATGTAACTATCTCCTTTGGGCTTCCATAATTGTGAAACTGACTGGAGATACCTCTGAACTGATTCATTTCTGCACATTTAGAGGGTTTCTAGAAATAGTCATTCTCATTTACCATCCCATTTCGTAAATTCTTTCTGATGCAAATAATCTTTATCAAAATCAAAGCCTCGCAGGAAGTTATAACTTTCCCCCTTTAAAGGACGATCAATTAAAATGTCATTGAAGATTTCACAGAGCTTTCCATATCCAGAGCTTGGAGGTTTGTAGACTGTGGCATATGAATAATCCTCCTCATCTGAAACAAAATATAGAGGAACTTCATTTCTGGCAACTTTTCCTTTTGTTTTCAAAGTATAACACTTTTGGATTAGGAGGCATTATTTTAATGTAGCAAATTCCACTGAAAATGGTGGTATCAAAATGGGATATGCCCTGCAAATACAAGCAGATCTGAGTCAACAGAGCTTAAAAATGAGCTTCCTTTCTATCACACACCCAGCCTGCTGACTATCCTTTTCTCCAGCACTGATTCCAAATGGATCTGTTCATATCTACTGCCTGCCTATGAGCAGGAAAGCAGACTATAAATTGAAGTTGTGCATAAGATAAAGACTAAACAAATAGTTCATTATAGTATATAATAGCTGCAGTGATCTCACAATTAGTTCATATCTGACTGAGTAGATGACCAGAAAATGAAGAGGTGGGAGTTTCTCTCTCTTTCATTTTACTTTGTAAACAAACTAAAAAAAAAAAAAAACCTAGCAAAGCAAAGATGAATAAAATGGTCAGTATTGAAATTCTTACACTTTTTTGCCATGTTTTCCCTCCATCGTTTCCAGAATTCTTCTGGTGTTGAAGTCCAATACAAACAATCCAGCAGATTTGGAGAGAAAATGTTAGTCCAGATACCTGCAAGACCAACCACATTAAAGACATTATATTAACTCAAGCCACAGCTCATCTCGACCGGATCAAAGGATATGAGCTCACTGGACTGAGAAACTATTTTAAATGTTTACTACTGCCAGCTAATTAAATGTTGTACACATGATTTAGCATCACAGTATTAACCAAACCATTATGGCTGATAAGAGATTCTTGTGACAGTGTTGTAGGGTTAACCACTGTTAACACATTAACAAAGCACAGGTATTGAGTTCAGATGACATAATACACCCAAACAAACAAATCATATTATGGCTTTAAATGATAGCACAATATGCTAAGACAATGGCTGGGTCCCCAAAACAGGCTGAATACATATCACCCAACCCTACCTTAATCTAAGCTATTGTGCTATACAAACACAGCCAGTATGACAATGAAACACCAAGGGTAAAATTAGATTACTGCAGTACAACACAGCTGGAGAACCTAGAGGAAATCCCATCAGGAGTCAAAAGCCAGTCCATATCAAAACCAAATCAACCTCCTTCTTGTTAGATGTTTATCCAATTATCTTAGATTTGCACAACACGTTAAGCTAAACTGGTTGGCTGGTTTGAGGTTCAGTGTGCGTGAAGTGAACACAGTTTCTCTATTTTTCACCCATCTTATCCGTTCATATATCCAACCGCATTCACAGCATTGTGCTGTTGCAACACAAGCCCCACCCTTTAGTTGCAATGTGACTTCACAAACACATGCCCCAAAGGGGCAGTTTGCAACACAACACTGCCTTCACCATTTTTCTTCATTGACAAAAACAGGAAGCCTCTGCAGACTACCTGTGCAAGTATCCATACATCCCCACCTTCTCTCATCCTCTCTTTCTTTCTCTGGCTACTTCCCTCTCCATATAATTATCCCTCTTTGACCCCACCTCCAAGCAGTCTGTTTCTTGAAGCCTAAGTACCATGTTTGTGAGGGAGACAAGGATAGTACCTCAAGGGCCAAATGAGAGGCCTCATCAATTGAATTGTCTATTTGTCTCTTGAATTGTCTGTTTGTCTATTGAATTGTCTAATTGTATATTTCACATGATGCTCTCTGGACCCTCAAGTGGTGAAATGTTTGCCAGAATGGGCCTTGGGCATGAAGAAGTATACTCCAAATCCTGGCTGCTGAAAGCAGTACTGTATATCTGAAGTCCTCATGCGAATTAGCATAGGATGCATTTCTGAATTGTTGTGGAAATTTAGTTTGGTCCAATGGCTGGCTCTCCCCACCTGCATACAGACTCAGCTGGTCTACCTAGAGCTGACAGCAAAGAGCCTGGAAAGGGCAAGCAAATGTCTATTTTTCAGAATGGATAAAATGAATTGTATGATAGTTGCCTGTCCCCATCCCCCAAGGTATACTCTGTTTGAGGCCATCCAGTCAAATAATCATTTCCCCCAGGTGTTGGGTCAGGATGTTATATGAACCTGTTGAAACTGTATCAGTGGAACAATACCAAGGATGTGTGGAGGCATTGGCTGTCACCATCACAGTATGTTTCACTTTATTATATTTTATTCATTTTTAACGCTTATTAGATTCCCAGTCATTTTGGCAAGCGGCTAGCCATATAGAATGAATGAATGAATGAATGAATGAATGAATGAATGAATGAATGAATGAATGAATGAATGAATGAATATTCTATTTTGCTGCTGCAACAGAGTGATATTCTCATCATTCACCTCTGACCACTAGAAGAGGAAGAATCCTCTCTGTTTTGTGTCTCCACTGCCTGCACTTCCTCACTCAGAGGCTGTGATAGCACAGCACTTCCTCCACCTGGTACCCTCTGGACATGTGAGCTACACTAAGTATTAAGGGAATTGTGATCCAATAGATCTGGAGGGCATTCAGTTGAGGAACATGGCAATAGCTGAACTGAAAATCAGTGTGTATGACATTTAGTATTTAATGTTTAGTATTTTCATTTGGTATTTGTTTACAATTACAGTGCAAGACCCCACCACAACCATATAAGATAGATTGGCCTGAGGGAGAATGATGGTTCCCAGTCACCCAGTGAGCTCCCATGACTGAGAGTAGCCTAGAACCTGGATGTCTCTGCTCCTAATTCAACACCTTAAGCCCTACATCAGATTGGCTCTCATGGAGGAATGTGCATGCATACATTCCAGTGTTCCAAACTAAAATGTTACACATATCATTCATTGATAGTAGTGGATCCCTGCACTGCACAGGGAATTGGCTAAGACAAACTAAGTCCCTTCCAGCACTGAGATGCTCATAAAAGCAACTTGTTGGTGACAAAGGGAGCAGAAGGAAATTTTCATGAAATGTACCTTTAGTTTAAAATAAAAGCATTTAAAATCCCTGTATCAGTTAAGTTGTAATTGTTCTGTTTTCCATATAATACCATACATATATCAGTGCTATATGCTGAGTATTACCATATATACTCGCATATAAGCCCATCTGCGGATAAGCTGAACCTGATCTTTTAAGTATATTTTGGAACCTTAAATTCTCAGATTATTCACGAGTATATATGATAATCATAAACTTAAATAACTATTCCTATAGAATATAAGAATACAATCTATGACAGGCATATTGGTGTAATATCACGAAAATTCAGTGTGATCCTTGTACAGATTCATAAACTTACATGCTTTATGTATATTTATTATTATTGCTATTACTAACAACATGAGATAACTGCTTATTCCCTGGAATAGTTTAATTGCAGCAATGGAGCCCTGATTGCTTTGGAGAAAGAAGGTTAGATGCCTAAGGCTGTCAAGAAGACAGGGTCTTTCCAAGGTTACCCTGATTCGCTTTACTATATTTTCCAGTTTAGCTCATAAGTAAACAGATCACCTTCCAGATAGCAAATCCGGGATTCTGGGTTCCTCTTCACCAGCCTTCCCATGAAGAATTCACTATCAAAATCTTCGGAGCGAATCTGTGCACCATATTTTAGCAACCCCACTTCATAAGGATTGAACTCCACCCATTCTGCAAACAAAGGGATGTACAAAAGAGTGAAAGACAGCTTGGTTGGCTGCTGTTCCAAATGTGAAATCAGGAAAAAGAAAGAAAAACCTCCATGGAGATTTCTTATGGAAGAAATAGCATCAGACAAACAACCACCTTGCCCTAGTTACCCTGATCAATTTTGTGACATCTTCCACAAATCTAAGAGCAAAGCATAACAAACAAACTAGAAGGTTATATTCAATGAAGAGCTTGTATCACTATGTTTATAAAATAGAGACCAATGAAAAGCTGTCTAAAGGAATCTCCTGCAGCCATTTAAATAGTTAGGCAAATCTTATGCATAAGTTTCTAGAGGACAAATTACTAATAGAAGAGAATATGTGTAGTTCAGGGTTGAACTGGATTCCATAGGACAAATTACTGGAATTTCCTGTAATCCCTGGCCAATAAAAGATAATGTCATTTCATCTTATCTCAGATGTAGATTTGAATTTCTCAGCCACTAGCTTTTGTCATATTACGTTTTTAGAGGTTAGAAGTGGATGATGAAACAGGCCTGGCTGCTCAGCAAAAAACAGAAGCAGATTATTTCAGATAAGTATTGATGTAAAGGAGGAAAGATTTCATTACCCTGAATAAATGCAACGGGAGATAACTTAGACCAGGTCAGGAACCTGGTGCCCTGCTGGATGTTTTGGGCTTCAACTCTCATCAGCCCAACTTGTGATAGTCCAAAGCATCTGTAGCCTACCAATAGCTTAAACATCACAGTACTTCTTTCATTTTTTTCTTTGATTTTCTCCATGAACTTCCTGTCTTGATGAAGTTTGGTAAAATTGTGTATAATGCAACCTTCCCTATATAATTCATGTAGAGGTACTCTAAGAGATTCACGATAAATAGAAGGTACCCAACTCTATTAAGTTCAAGGTCAACATTTTATGTCTTCCCCTTCTTCTCCTCTCTTTCCAATGCTTATAACATTGGAATCAAAACCTACATTTCCATAGTGGAGAGATTGATATGTGAGTACCCACCTCTGAAGTCAAAAGTGGAGATATCATCTTTGACATTTATGACTGTGTAGATAGGAAAGGGGTTCTGCCCCTGATTCAAAGCCTGTCGCTGTTCTGAGAGCTTACTGGGATTTACCTAAAAATAATGGGAAACAAAATAAATATTTTAACACATGGATCTTTGTTTTTTTCCATGCACGAACAATCCTGAAAAGCTAGTATCTCCTGGATATTCTATATCAAGAGACCAAATATTAAATCCCATCAACATAATGTTATTGTGTTACTTATTATAATATCTGCATATGTAGATTGTTATGAAACTTAAGTGCTTCAGACTCTAGAAAATAATGCTAAATACCAACTACTCATTTCTGTCTGTCTCTCACTTGTGATGGGATCTTTGCCCTGCTGCTTCTTCGTTCCTTCCTCCTGGTTATTCCTGACTGTTTAATGCTGGAAAGGGAAGAGAAATTCCCCACGGCCAACACCAAATTTGCTATTTAGATACCTGGCTGAGCTGAAGGTTTCACTGCTATAGGAATGAACAATTTGAGACCCAAGACTCCATAAAGGCCTCAAAGCCTCTCCTACTTTCCTAGCTCCTGGAATACCTTTCAACTATATTGCCAACTTTGGGGGCCACAACTACTACTTAGAGGCAGAAAACCCACGAAAACTCATTAAAACCTGCAATAAGCATCATGTTGTTTTCAAGAAGCAAAGAAAATTCCACAATCCCTAATTTAAAATGTATAAAGTAATCCCGGTTTTACCCTTATATATGACAGGACCCTTTGCTGCCCTTGCTTCCCACAGGTACTGCTAAGTGTAGCCCCTGATCACCAAAAGCTGGCCCAAACCTGCCACACTATCTTGTCAGAAGCTGCTTTGCATGCTAAGCCAGTATGTTCTAACTTGACAAACAAGAGTTCACCAAAGCTCCTAAAAGAATATATTTCCAAACCCTCCTTCCCAAGATCACTTACATTATCTCAGGGAAAGAAAACCTTCTGATTACTGAGGGCTGAATTCTTTTAAGAAGAAGTGTTGATGGAAGCATGTGATATTGATTGACAAGTCAGATGATATTGAAGTCAGCTTACTACCTTTTTTTCCCCTCTCTATTTCTCTCCCTTCCCTTTTTCTTCCCCACTAGAGCTGACCACTAAGGGCGAGTTGCACACTCACCTGAAATAAGCCTTAATGCCACAGGTTGCTCATTCCAGTCTCAATAGGAGAAACCAGAGATCACATCTTTCCATGTGAAAAGCACACAATCTACCAAATGACCTGTAGGTTCCACTCATTACCACCACCAAATGCTGCAAGAAATACAATTTTCTTTCCCCATTTCTTTAACAGTGCATAGTGTCATAGTATTAGATTAGAAGGGACCTTAGAGACTGATTAGTCTGACCCCCTGCCTGAGTGTACAGTGTAAGGAAGGTGACCTTGGTGGAAATATGCAAGAACCGTTACCTAGGCAAAAGGGGCTGAAATATTTTTTTAAGTCCTGAGAAACAAGGTAATATTTGGAAGCGGCTCAGGCAAACGCCTCCCTGATTCACTGGGGTACAAGAAGGAGGAAGAGGTACAGCACAATCAGATTTGCAAGATTCTATTATTATAGACAATATCAATAAAGGTAGTTTTATCCTTCCTGTGGGATTGTGATGGAATGTATCTACGAGGAGGAAAGTGATGTGGGAGATCAATGCTATCAGGAGGGAGGGGGTGCATTCCAGAAGGGGAAAGGAGATAAGAGGCAATGCAGTCCTCAAGGAGAGTGTGGGAAGCAAAAGAGGTGCAGGATAGCCACTCCCTAGAATCTCCCAGGGTATATCCACTAGTTGCAGTAGTATAGATTTAGTTTGGCAATATTCTGTCTATAAGGTGTAAGCAAATAAAGGAACTATACTTGACTGGACTGTTTCACCATTGTTCTTGGGCTGGGCCTGACATCAATCTGACAAGTCCCAGGCCGATGGAACCTGTAACATGCCTTCCCTGCCAGATCTAATGGGACAGGCTGATGTAATTGGGGAAAAGCAGTCCCTTTTCTTGGTTATGCATGCTTAAACCTGGCATTGCAAATTGGTTTCATTTCAAATGTCTCTTTTTCCTAAGACTTGAAATAGAGAGAAACAATGAACAGAAACATTGACAGTCAAAATAATAGGGCTTTGTTTATTTCATGCCCTGCAAATCTAATACTGTACCTTTTTATGAGGTAGCTCTTTTATTGTTTCAAAAACAGTTTATTTAAAATACTGTTTTAAATATGTTACTGGCTTTAAATTGTTCTACCTTGATCAAAGCTAGGGAAACAGCAAGGCCTTTGAAACAGAGGGCTGCAGTCCAATGCATATTTTCTCGGGAGTGCATCTCACAGAGGGACTTATTTCAGAACAGATTTTTTAAAGACTGGGCAGTAGAAAGATTAAACACATAAACCATCACAGTCATTTTTCACCTCTGTACTATATCATTTCTTACTTGTCTCAAAGCTTTACAGTATACTTTGGAAACAATGATGAAAACATCATTTCAGGTGCAACTGAAAAGTGTTAAGTGTTATCTACAAGGTTGCTCTGTGTAGGCCGAAATAAAGATAACTGGGTGAATCCTCTGTCAGAATCCCTAGAGTACACCTACCTATTGTACAGAAACATTCTTGTTGTATAACAGATAATTAACATACTTTGTCATGGAAACAAGCTTCTTGAATAAGGGCCCAGAGTTCCGTAAAAGATGAAAGATGCCCATTTTTGATCCGCTCAGTTAGCTCCTTGTGATAATACTTCAATCTTTCGATAGAAATAACATCATCTTTGTTTTTCAGTAACTGTCTTTTCATTTGTTTGATATGTCCTTCCAAACTTTGATGTGACCATTCAATATGTTGGTACAAGTCTGTCATTGTCCTGCAGAAGTAGGAAGAAACCCATGCTTAACAAAATGAGAATTTCTCCACTAGTGTACATTCATAGTATATTTACAAGCATTTTAAAAGGTGTTCTTATAAGGTGATAAATCTGATAAGTTGGGCAACTTGGTACCTGTTTTGAAGGCATAAAACACTCGTAATTTTATCTTGTCACCATCCCACAAGGCTGACATTTAGATGCAAAAGCACATTCTTCTGTTGCAGTCACTATTTTAAAAGGGAGGGCAGTGAAGAAAGAATGAATGAAGTTTGTTGGCCAAAAAGGCAAAAAGAGAAATGGCCTTCAAGCAGAATTGCCCGAAGAAATCAATCCTGATGGTTTTAATTAACTCTTTGGAAGCATATTTTGAAATAGAAGAATTTACTCTTGTCTTTTATTAAATGTTGACATATACTGGACATGGACAATTCAATTCTAATACTACTTTAATGATCTTTAACACCAACCTGAGGTTCATCATTTCTGGCTAAAAGATATGAGTTGAATACCTTGATTTCCAACTTTTTATCTAGCATCCAATGATACTGTTAGATCATTTTATACTCTGAGCTGAGCGGTGGGGCATTTCTGCTCCACTGGGGAATCCCTTCTGCTCTTTCTGCTCAGTAGGGCCTTGACCTCCATAGTCCTACTTTACTCAAGGAGAACAGTGAATGAAGTCCCAAAAGTATTCATGATCGAAAAGCACATTGAGTTGCATCTTTGTTTCACTGAGTTCGTTTCCACAGGCATAATTTTCTCAGCATTGGGCCCAGTATAGCTGGAATTCTAATTAAATGTAATATATTTCCCTTAGTTTTTACCATGTTGATCCAGAAGCAGTGGTGATATATGTAATGCAATCCAAAAGGTTCAGTTTCTGCAAGGCTGAGAGATGAGCATACAATCCTGACATGGCTCTGATCCCACCTCCAGTTGCTATAAGACCTATCACTGGAACCTGTTATAAGCAATCACAGAATCAATAATATAAACAGCAACTTTGGCAATAAAACAAATTGGATTCTAGAAGATAACTTTCCAACTCCACAAGTCATCTTTCAGTTCACCTCTAAGCTTAATTTCCCTATTGATATAAAAGCAAATAAATACACATTGCATAGATAGTTGAATAAAATCAGTTCAGTTTCAGAATCAGACACAGCTTCCTTGCTATTGTAACCAATGCCATTCCACTGCAATGAAAATATTGGAAAACAAATTATTTTCATTCCAGTGAATCTCTAAAAATGAGTAACCTTGCAATTCTGTCTAAACTAGATTTAGCCTGTAGGGAATTTGATGTCAGACTTTAAAACCAGAACACAGTGTTGATCAAGCAAAAAAATCTCTCCAAAAAAAGAATCCAGAACCAACAATAACCTGAACAAATGGCAGTACATAAGTATGCTTTGCAGAGACAATTGTGTGAGATTAAATGGCAAAATTATCTAAAGCTACATGTCAGCGAGAATTCTGTACCACTGATAACATGGATCATAATTACAGTGGAAAGTGACATTGCCCAAAATCTCTCTCCTACCTAATTATTAAAAATGCAGATGCTTTATTGGTTATGGTTAACTAATATCCATGGGTCTCTGCAGGAGGGCTGCAGCAAGGGACGGGGAAATGAGGACACATCATACTCGCATCAGACATCAGGACGCAAGTACATAATGATGGCCTTTGTGTGACATTTGCAAAATGCACACCATTTTTGCATCATTGTGGTTTGCTCAAATCCTACATCCCAGCAGCATTTGCTGTTTCTCACCCTCCTTCTTGGGCAATAAAACCTATTTTCCTCCATCTTAGCTATAGAGTTATATATAACTCTAGCTGCAAAACAGCCATTCTGCGATGCATGGGGCTATTGCTCTGCAGAGCTTGGGGGCAGCCTGCTTTTCTATTCGTGCAACATCTTGTCTCACCCCCTCCCACTACCTGAACTAAGACCTCTCAAATAGATTTCACAGGCAACCTGCTCTGAGGATTCTTACTCTTTCTAGTCAGTTTCATTGATTATTGATTATGTACCATTGAGTCAGTACTGACTCTTAGCAACCACATAGACAAATTTTCTACTGTCCAGAGGGATCTGTCCCCAACCTGGTCCTTCAAGTCTTCAGTCAGATTCATATTTCCTGTAAAAAAACTGCCTGGGTTCCCCATGGTTTATAAGCAATGTTTGTCTCATCCTGTCTTCCAGCCTGTGTTTCTCAACTTCAGCAACTTTAAGATGCGCTTTGCTCTCCCAGTCCTGCAGCTTGAGGTGAGAAGCCATAGGGCATATCAGCATATAACACACAGCTAGGATTTCAACCCCAAATTTTAGGAAAAAAATATGTGTTATACGCTGATAAATATGGTAGTTATTTAACATATCTGCCATGCAAATCATTACAAGATGTCCACATACCTCATCCTCTTGTAACTCCTCTCCTAGATTTAAAAGCCTATACAGGGCATCAGCAACGACCTTTTTCCTCTTGCGCAGGAAATCCTGCTCATCAGGACAAAGCTCATAACCCAAACGCACATCAAGATTCTGTGACCTAGGACACAGAAACAGCCATATCACTACTAAGCATAGACTAGATGTTAGATCACTTCATCAATAATGCAGTTAGCTGAATATCAATTCACAACTTATAGGGATTACCAGATATGGTTTTAGATCTGTGTGGGAATCAAAATCAGCCCCATGCCAGTCAACTGGGGGTTGCTGGGTGCTCTTTATTGCACTCAGCTTTGACTTCCTCCTGCTTCAATGGAAGCGTTTTATGCAAAGGGAGCACCTCAGCAACTTAAGAGGAACAGAACCTTAGGGCAACAGAACATGTCCAGCAATACCACCAACTAATTCATGGGCACTCAACTGGCTTCTCATGTAGATCTGAAATTACATCTGAAGTTTCAGTCAGGCTTGCGATTAGGAAAACCAAGTTCCCACTCAAGGAGTATTATTTTAAAGCTGACATGAGCAAAAATGCAAGGAAATAGCACAAGTTTTCTAAGTATTTGCACAGCTGCAATGTTTAATAAAAAAGTTACGAACAAAAATGTACTTTAAATGTACCTGTGTCTAGGTGTGTGAGCACACACATGTGCCTCTGGTAGGGGTATATACCTATACACACACAGATATGCACACACACACACACACACAAAGTGTTTACGAGTAGCAGGCTAATCCTACTTTATAAGAAGCACATTTCCCTTCTTTCATGGATCAGATAAACTGGTGTTCTAAAATAAGCTACTACAATACATGCAAACACCCTGTGGAAAAAACACATTCTTTTCACTTTCAGTTATTTTTCCACCACTATGCAAAGGTATGTTGATTAATTAATGGATTAATTGACTAAAGCAAGTACAAGGTATAAATTCAGTACAAGGATCAAATGAATATTGTACTCAGAAGAAAGAAACCTAATGGTGGTTTTGACCTTTAAAGCCCTTCATGGCATGGGGCTGGGGTATTTGAGGGACCATCTCTTCCTGATTACGTCTGCCCATCCCATCAGGTCTGGCAGAAGGGGTATGTTGCGGGTTCTGCCTGTTGAGGAGTTACATCTGGTGGGACCCAGGAGGCAAGCCTTTTCTGCCATGGTGCCTGCCCTGTAGAACATCACTCCCCTCAAGGTCAGACCAGTCCCATCTTTGCCAAACTTCCAGAAGTCCCTTAAAACCTGGCTATGACAGCAGGCTTGGGGATCTCAGGGAAATGCCTACACTGTATGTGACATCAAAGATGCTCTTGCCTAGTTTTTTTTTAAATAATATTAATGTTTTTATTATGGTACAATTATTAAACTTTGTTTTTTATGGTCCATTATTATTGTATGCTGCCCAGAGTCACGTTCATGAAATGGCTATATATATGTGATTGATGAATGAATGAATGAATGAATGAATGAATGAATGAATGAATAGTAAGCAAGGCCTTCCAAGCAAGGCCTACATAACTACTCTCTCATCTTGAAATTTTTGGTACAGGTATCTAGATAACATCTTCTTCCACTTGTAACCCTTTCAGTTTTTCACCTCCTGCATTGCCTTCCTTCACTAAATAAATACCTTAAGGAGGGAATGACAGAATATTTACAAAACATATTTAGATTGCTTGCTCCCCAAAACCAAGGAAACTAATCTGCAGAGGTTTGGTCTTTTCAAAAAGCTTAACTGAATGACAACAATAATTTTTAGAGATACCACTTTATTATTTAAACCCAAAGTGGAGAATATTTGAACGGTCAGAGGCTACAACTTAGCCTCTCAACCACAAGAAGGGCCACCAAGGGCAGCCAGTGACACTGTTAGGTCACTGGAAGAGGTGTGGCTGAATTTTTCCTTTTCCTTTCCAGGTTTGGGGGAATTGTTTTAGGCTCTTAGGGGGAAGCCTTTTGGGAAGGTTTAAGGGCATAGATGAGATATAGAGGATAAGTGTTCCCATTCCCACTTTTCAGATCCCAGACTCAAACCAGCGCTGAAATTTGATAGTTTTGCTACTGAATTTCTGAAGAGCTATAAGTGGGGAGCTGCATGCAAGCCTCAGATGGTCCACATGTGATTTTATGCTGAAGATAAGCTGCCTTTCCTTTGTATTAGCTCAGTGTATTAACGGTGCCAGAAAAATAGAAAGAAAATACCTTACCAGTCAATTACCTGGAGATACAGCTCCAAGACACTTCCCTGAAAACCCAAAAATATGCAGTTGTGAAGACAGTGAAACTGGACAAGAAAGGGGGAAGGGGACAAATAAATGAGGCATGTGAAAAAACAAATGAGCTCTTTAGATTTGTTCAACTGAGATGGGATAAAAGTACTTATAATCAATTTATCAATCAATACAGCAAGTAGTATGTTAGTCTTAAGACTTCAATTTTTTCATGTCTGAAAAAGTGTGAAACCTATGTGTAATATTTATAAATGATCACTGGAAACATGCAATTTGCATATGTGCTGAGAAACTGTGATTGGCCATTTTCCTCAGGGTATGAAAAAGAGATAGAGATAGAGACAGAGATAGAGATATAGAGATATAGTCCCATTTATTTAACTCTTGTGTAAATCTTGAAATCAGAGGTACATAATGGATTTGCCAGGGATTTTGTGATTTCTTTCACACAGCCTTGTCTTTCTCATAAATAATGCAAAATATGTGAAACAACCCTTGGATGGTATTCCATTATCTATTCTTCAGATCAACTACCAGCTCTGGAAACTGATTTTTTGCATTGGGAAATTATTTTGGCAAAAGAGGGAAAGCATGAAAATCACATTCCAAGCCTGGCTCAAATCCAAACAGTCAAAAGAACGAAATGTCAAATCTTGTTTCTTAATTCTTTTCTATAACTTCTTTTCCCCAAAAGTGATTTCAGGCTATTCAGAAAGAGCAGGCCCCAATACAATTGTTCTATTTTCCATTCATTCAAACACTGACCAGCAGTGAGTTCCACTGAATCTATGGGGGGAAGGGGGAGAAAATCCTTTTCCTTCTTTTAGAAAAACATTGTTTTTACAGACCTTTTACAGAAAGTTTAAAAGGTAGTTCATTTACTGATGGTATAACTGAAGTATATCTTAGTTTGAAAACAATAAAAATGTGTTGCTGTTTTGTTTTAAACTTTACCAGTATTCAGGAAAAATGAACATTCATTTTAAGAATCAACACTTGCCTCCTTCATTGGTAGTTCAACTTTGACTTGGCATCCAACTGGAAGCAGTTTCAAAGGCAGAATTAAGGAATAATCAGAATCACTGTCCTCATTAGATAAAATGTTCTGGGAAGGGGGAAAAAAATCATCCAAATGAGTAAGATGTAAAAATACACTGAAATGGAAGATTACTTACTGCTTGATTTAATCTTATTTTTAGCCGGCCTTTCAGTTACCGAAAGAGCCTTTCACTCAGGTGAATTCCAGGCAACTTAAGGATTTGCATCACAAAGCCAGCTGAACTCTCAATTCTTGGACCTTAAGAATTGCTCAGTCTTTTCTCTTTTATTTTCCTTAAACTGTTCTGAACACAGCCTTCATTAAATTTACACTAATTCTTGCTGGCTCAGAGGAAAACTTTTTGCAGTCCAGCACAAGTTTGGGGTGAACAACTAGACTTGATTCAACAGCCAGATCAAAGCAGAACACCTCATCATACTTTAGCTACAGTGCCAATAGGGAGCAGTTGCTGCTTAGGTAATTATCAGGAAAAATGAACACAGAAATGTAATCCATATCTTTTTGATTTTTAGATCTGAGTGCAAATAGAAATGCAATGGAGATCTTCTATAAAATAATTGAGAAACTGCTTGGCACATCTTACACAGAAGGTGTTTAAAGCCAGGCAATCAGACTGAGTGGGATAAGATTAGAGGCCACAAAAATCAACCCCTTCAGGACAGGGAGGGGCAACCAGGTGCCCATCAACTGCATATACTCCTTAGCCTCTTTTGCTGCTTCCCACTCAAGATTACTTTACTGAAATTGGGTGGCAAGTCACTGATTTTCAGTGGATCATTTTTTAAAAAATAAATATAACAGAGGCAGGCTAAATATACCTATTGTACTTAGCCCTAGCCCACAACCTTGCAATGAAATGCCAAAAAAATCCAGTCCTATCCTTTCTGGGGATGGCACCACATCAGCTCACATCCCAGCTATCCTTCAAGTCTGAAAAATCATTTAAAGTGAGGTGTCCTCTCAGCTGCTAAGAAGATGACCAAGGAGGATTTGGAAGTTTGGAACTTCTTGATTTAAAGTGAGCAGCTGGAGCAGGGAACAAGAATGGTTTGTTGCTGCAAATAACAAGGGCAATATAAATTGCCTCTTGATGATATTATTATTATTATTATTATTGTTGTTGTTGTTGTTGGTCGCACAGTCAGCCAGATGTTTAGACTGGATTTGGCATTTTTATCCACCTATCGAATCCTTCCCAAGGACCTGAGATAGGCCGGTGTTGTTGTTGGGGGGGGTTTAAGGTTGTCATCGCAGGATATAAGCTGTTCCAAGTACAGCTGCCTTTTGCAATTGACTGGTGGTAATCTTGTCAATGCCTGATGATGATGATGATGATGATGATGATGATGATGATGACGACGACAATGATGAAGATGATGATTCTACCCAACTCCCAGCAACTCTGGGTAGTTTATAAATTATTTAAAGCAGTAAAAACAAGAAAGAGCAAAACACAAAAATGAAGAGTAAAGATGACAAGAATAAAAAGACCAGATGGAAAGAAAGAAAAAGAAACCACACAATCTAAAGGGAGCTCTAGTCCCCCTTGCCAAAGGCCTGGGTGAAGAGCCAGGTCTTCCAAACCCTTTGAAATAGCAGGAGGGTGGTACTGGTGTTTATTTATTTATTGCTACACTATAACCTGATGGACAATTGGGCAAGGAGAAGGGTTGAACAACAAATATATTCATAATTATTTTCCACTGCCATTCTGGATATATGATAACTGAGACTGTTACCTGAATCTTGGCTTTTAATACTGGTCCCCAGCTTTTTATGCAATGAAAGCGGAAGGAATTTAAATTTTTGCTTGTCTTCTGTGTTCCTTCATGAGATTCTGGCACTGAAAGGACTACATTTTTATTGGCTAAAATAAAACAATACATGTTAAATTAAGTTCCATGTTATGTATTTAGGTTTCTAAGAATGTGTTGTTGAAAACTTCGTTTTATCATGGACACTGGTTATTTTTTAATTTATAAACAAATTATTGAACTGCACACTTTATATTTGTAAGCAGATCAAATGTATCTGGCATACAGGAGACATAGGGTTCTCTCATAACCCTACGTCTCTTTCTAATATAGTATATGTATGTTCAATACTGTTCATATACAGAAGGGTATTCAACTTACAGCTTATGCATATGAAAGCATAGTAAGACTAGATCAAAAGTCTTGCTAAAATTCAGATACTTTATATTCAGATATACATAAACTATACACATTGAGGAACACAGTATCAGCTGATTTAATACAGTATATTAACCTTATGGGGGTTTTTTCTGTTTTCATAAAACTGATACAAAGAAAATACATCACTTTAAAAATATTGAAATCCACCCCAAATTCACATTTTGGCATTTGCCATTCACATTTTATAATTTGAATATGAAATTAAGTATTTTAATCAGATTTCACACTACTTCCACTTTAACATTCGGATGCTTTGATTTGATAGATCTGAATACTAATAGACAGGGATCATGAACTACCACTACACACCAAATCAAATACAGTCTACTCTAAATATTGTTACATATCAAGAATCAAACACCACAAAATATACAATATTGAAATAGAATAGCCTTATAAGATTTTAAGATCAACCTATTGCTGCCTTGCGACAACAGGTTATTCAGGTGGCAAAAGAAGGGTGCTTAACCCTGTTGCTATCTGTGATAAAATGTCTCTCATAGAGAGGGATCTTCTGTCTCAAGCAAACTTACATATTCAAGAGTTTGGGAGGAAACTCATAAAGAAGAAACAGCACCATTTGTATAGGAAATATGGGGAAGATTAAGCAACCTCGTCTTACTCAGTGATGTTTTGTCTTGTTTTAGAAATCCTGCCCACTCATTACATTGCCTCAAGAAATGTAGGTTTAGTGGCAGTTGCTTGTCAAGGCAAATGTGTGTGGCTTCACCTTTCAAACAGATATTTCAAACTACAGAGAACATCTGGCAAGAGATGAACATTCATAGCACCTCTAATTTGGCCTACCTTCTTCTTAAGCAACTATGCTGGGTGAAACAATTGGTAGGTGCCATCAAACATTAAGCATGTAGAGCTACAACCCCATTAAAGAAATATCAGCCCTATTTATTTATTTACTTATATGGCTGCCCTTCTTGTGAGACACAACTCTGGGAGGCTAACAGCAATAATAAAAACACAACGATAAAACAATCCAAGAAGCAAACAAGAAAAACCCGATGACCAATCAACAGTTATCCAACTGTACAGTCCCCCAGGCTCCAACCTTGCTATCCTAACACCTGTGGGAAAAGCCAGCTCTTAACGGCTTTCTGGAAAGAGGGTGGGGGCCTGACAGACCTCATGGGGAAGAGCGTTCTATATGGCAGGGGCTGCTACAGTAAAGGCACGCCTCACTGGTCCCACTAAATGCAATAACTGAGGGAAGGGACCTACTTATACCCACTCTATCCTACCTAGTGGGATGGGGAGATACCCTCAGGGAGGAGCAGTCCCACAGATAACCTGGGCCTGGGCCATGTAGGGCTTTAAAGATAACAATCAACATCTTGAATTGCACCAAGAAAGAAACTGGGAGCCAGTGCACCTCACACAGCAATGGTGTAGCATGGGCCCAAGAGGAGACCAATACCCTGCAAGCTGCTGTACTCTTATAATGGTATGTGGGAATAACCCTGGGAGATGGAGCCCAGAGATGCTGCCTAGGGAACAGTCAGATAAGGGACAGCATAGCCTGCAGCTGGAAAGTAAGGCGGGACAAGAGGCTCAGAAGAGATCCTCCCTAATATCTCAGGGTATAAAGACAGGGAGAGAATTGTACTTTCAGACTTGCAAGATTCTGTTAATGCGGCCTTACAGTAAAGTAGAATTAGCTCATCTGGTCGTGTGTTCCTGTCTGTTTTACCTGGTAAGGCTGACAATTCTGGACCAGCTGTAATTTCCAGATGGTCTTCAAGGTCAGCCCCATATAGAGCACATTGCAATAGTCCAACTGAAAAGTGACCAAGGCATGAGTGACTGTGAGCAAGGCCTCTCAGTCCAGGAATGAGAGCCATTGGTGCACAAGACATATCTGTGCAAAGGCCCCCTAGCCATGGCTGCAATCTGCTCCTTGAGCAGGAGCCATGAGTCTAGAGGGACCCCCAATCTGCATACCAGCTCTGTCTGGGGAAGTGTTACCCCACTGAGAGTTAAAGATAACAACACATCGCTGGACTCTGGAGGGCCAAAAACCCAAAGCCACTCCGTCTGGCTAGGGTTGAACCAAAGCCGGTTCCTCCCCATCAGACCCTCATAGCCCCATGAGACCCTCACTAGGTCAGCAGCAAAACAGGATCACCTGCCTAGACAGGGCTGGGTATCATCTGCATACTGATGATACCACATCCCATGCCATCAGATATGACCTCACCCAGCAGTTTCATGCAGATGTTAAAAAGGAGTGGCAAGAGACCTGAGCCTTGAAGCACTCCACCAGCTGGTACTGGTCACTGGTACTGGTCACAGACGAAAGAGGAGAAAAACCACAAAACAGCACCTCCCACCAACCCCCGAAGCCACCATGAGATCCAGGAGGGCCAAGACAGTTGCACCATCTCCGTCCCAAGCCCTCCAATAGTCATCTGCAAGCACGACCAATGCCATTTCCATACTAGACTCCAGCCTGAACCCTGCCTGGAAAGGGTCCAGATAATTAATGAAATGCATTGTGATTAGTTAAATCAGCATGAATTTTGCATAGGACTAAAGTGATAGCACAGCTGCCACCATGTCCAGACTAGAAAGAAAAACATCCCTTATTTATGCAATATACAATATTTTATTTATAATAGTACCGACTGAAACAACATTTGCTATTCTGGGAGCTGTAATTCCCTAAGTGCCAATCAAGAAACACATATAAATAAATAATAAGTGAGACTGAACCTGCAATTCTCAGCCAAGTTCAAAATAAAAGAAATACTTTTCAGAGGCCTTTGCAATATTTTCAGTGTCTCCATAGTTTACTGTGGGCACATCTGGAAAATGTGTCCTAACTGAATCTTGAGAATCTGCAAAGGCAGTCAAGAAGATCTTGTCAGGCCTGCCAGATCTGTCATCTGTACTCAGTGAAAAGTCCTTCCTTTTAATCTCCAGAACTCTGCATTAATTCCTTTCTTGGATAGCTCCTTTGCTTTCCTTTCCAACACAGTGGAGAAGGTGGCTTATTTTCACACATCCAAATCACATCTCTTAACTATTTCAGTATAATTGCAAATGGCAAATTCTGATGCAAAAGAAAAAAAAACTGAATTCCTGAAAAAAATAGCTGTGGATTTTTCCAAGAATTCACCAGCACTTGGGAGGATTTTAAACTATTTTGACCCTTTGCATTTGACCCAGACTTGGCAATAGCTACAGTATATGCTGTTTTTCATCATAAATTCCATCCTGGGATATTGAGAAGTCACAGGCACATTGTTCACAAAACATATACAGTGGTACCTCGGGATACGAACTTAATCCGTTCCGTGACTCTGGGCGTAT